CCAACAGCGCCAGCTGTTCGGCCGGGCGCCGATGGGGAGGCGGGCCCCCCGGACAGCGGCGGAGCGCAGCCGGGCGCGGCCGCGGTCACGGCCCCCAAAGGCAAGAGCAAGGCCAAGCCCAAGGCTGCCCAGGAGAAAGGTGCCCGTGGCCGCCCGGAGAAAAACTCTGACCGCGCAAGAAACCACCGCAACCAGAAGTTATGGATGTTTCTTTAAAATGATTTTTTGTTGGTTGTTCTGTTGTCGCGGTAACTGTTGGCGCGTGCTTCGATTTCACATGTATCGCGTTCTCGTGGGGTGCTTCATTGCCACTTGCAGAGCGTCTCCCGCAGACCTTCCCTTCGACGTGCTGGCGCGAGACCGAGTGGCGCGCCTGCGCGGCGCGGCCTGTTTAACACGACGCGCGCGCGCAGTTCAGAGGAGTTTACATTCGTAGCCGCCTGATTGTTGCGGCACCGCGCCATATTTTTTGCGCGGCGCGTAACGCTCTTTTCGGATGCCATTTGCGCGTGTTTTGCATGGGCGGATCGCCTTGGCGCAGCGATGCTTCGCGCGGCGTGGTTCGGCCGCTTTTGCGCGATGATGCGCCCGTGTGCGTGCGTGTTGCCAGAGCGGCTCTGCGTGACGGCGTGTCCAGTAGCGATTACCATGCCGTTAAATTTGTCCCTCGTGGGCACGCGGGCCCCCCGCCCCTTTTCCCTTCTTCGCGGCGCGCCAAATTGTTGGAGTGTCTATAAGTTTGTTTCGTTGGGCGCTTGCGCATGTGATTTTTTGTGAGCATTGTTCATTTGTTGTCCACCTTTCGCGCGACCTCTTCTGGTTGCTTTCCCCCTCGTCCACTCGCATTATGTTTTGATGGTGTTTTATTGCGCACGTCTCAAAGTGGAGGGCCCGGTCCGCTCGTGGAGGGCGCGACATTGTTGACAAATCATACGCGTCGCGCGGTTGTGGTAGAAACCGCGGCGCGTGCGTCATGCCGATCTGTTCGCGGCAAGTCCCGCGCACCGCGACCGCGTAGCACTCGGCGTGGCGAGTCTTCGAGCACCGCCACGAAAACCATAACGCGCGACATGTCGTCGCCCATAGCCTTGCAAGGGCCGCAACATGTGACGCGCTCTTCCGCGCCGCTTCGGGGCGCACTCCTTCGTCGACGTCGTCGCCCTCCCCCTTCCCACGCCCCCCATGTTGTCACCCTCCCTTCTTCCATCTCGTTCTCCTTGTCTCATTATTGCGTCTCCTGGGGTTCTCACGTGGCACACGTGGACAACCTGTGGTATGTCATGGGTTACTGTCGGGTTGTCATGGGGGCCTCCTGGGACACTCTTGAGTCGTATATGGGGCTACCTGGGACATGAGGGGCCCTCTTGGGCCGTCGTGAGTTGCCTGGGGGGTATCTTGGTGCCGTCTTGGGCCGCATTCGCCTCCATGCTGGTTTTCTTGCTTTGCCTGGGTTGGGTCTTCAGTTACCCCCAACCCCACTAGGTCTGGTACCAGACCTCCCTTCCACCTCCAACAGGTCTGGTGGGATGCCCCCTTCCACGTCGACCAGACCTCCCAGCGGGCCCTCCTCCGGCGAGGTGGAGGGGGCCTCCACCAGACTTCCTCTGGTTCTCCTGGAGACCTCCCCCTGGTCCCCCCGAGGGCTTGGGAAGGCCTTCCGGAGGCTTCCCTTGGTTTCCACAAGGTGTGGCGAGAGGCTTCCCGCGGCCCCTGGGAACACCAGGCGAGGCCTCCTCCAGGCTTCCGGGGCGACCAGGGGAGGTCTCTGGGAGGCTTCCCCTGGTTCACCTGGAAGCCTCCGATGAGAGTTCCCGCAGGGGGGAGGTCTCCTGTGGGAGGCTTTCGGGAGGACCAGGGGGAGCTTCCAGGAGACCTCACCTGGTCCTCCACCAAGTTTCCCCCCAGCGCTCCAGGAGGACCAGGCGAGGTTTCCAGGGGGCCTCCCCTGGTCTCCCCGGAAGTTTCCCTTTGGAGGGAGCCCTGCCAGATTTCGAGGTCTGGGGGGGGCTCCCGGACCCTGGTCCTCGGGGAGGATTCCCAGCAGGCTTGCAAGGACCAGAAAAAGCTTCCGGGAGACCTCCCAGCCCCCTTCTGGAAGTTTGCGGGAGGCCCCCAAGAGGACCAGGGGGGGCCCCCCGGCGGTCTCCCCCCAGATTCCAGGAGGTCGTCAGGACACCGCTAGGAGGCTTACTCTTCGGGGCCCTGAGGCCAGTGGATCACCGGATGCAGTGCAGCTACGGTGGCGACGGCAGCAGAGTCGCGTTCAGCCTCGGCGAAACATTTGCCGCGCGTTTCCAAGCTGGGTGGCTGGTTGGGGGCCTCCGACGGCCACGCCGGGACGTTTGAACTTTGGGTCTTTCCGCTCCAAGAAAACATGGTGGACGTAAGGAAACTTCTGGTTCCTTAATAAATGCCCCCCGGGGGGCCTCGATGGTCCCAAAGTGCGAGACATCGGTCGATCCACCAAATTTCGGGGGAGCGTAAGACCCGGGTTTGCCAGGACTCGGGTTCGCCATCGTTTTTTGACGACCGCGCCTCGGATTTTGACGAGGAGGAGTTTCGTGGGATGTCTGCAGCGGGAGGCCTCGTCAAAATGCAGGCTCGGCCTCGTCCTTTTTTTGACGACCTCGTCGGGTATGTCCGAGTCCTCTCTGTACCCAGGTCTTACGTCCGCCTGAAAATTTAATAAGGAATTCCCGGGGGCCCAAGTAAGGTCCTTACTTGGGTGCCTGGCGGTCCCAGAATTCAGGGCCTTACTTGGGTCCTCGGCGGTCACAGGTCCCCACAGGTCCCACGTGTCCCAGATGTCCCACAGGTCCCATAGGTCCCACGGGTCCCGCAGGTCTCGAAGGTCTCGCCGGTCCCGCAGGTCCCGCAGGTCCCGCAGGTCCCACAGGCCGCACAGGTGCCACAGGTGCCACAGGTCCCGGAGGTCCCGCAGGTCCCGCAGGTCCCACAGGTCCCACAGGTCCCTCAGGCCCAACAGATCCCACCGGTCCCAAGGTCTTGCAGGTGTCACAGGTCCCGCAGGTCCCACAGGTCCCACAGGTCCTACAGGTCTTACAGGTCCCACAGGACCCACAAGTCGCAAAGAAGGTGCCAAAGGTCCCGCAGGTCTCGCAGGTCCTACAGGTCCCACACGTCCCGCAGGTCCCAAGGGTCCCACAGGCCTCGCGGGCCCCACAGGTCCCACAGGCCCCACAGGTCCCACATGTTTCACATGTCCCATAGGTTCCACAGGTTCCGCAGGTCCCGCGTGTCGCGCAGGTCTCGCAGGTCCCGCAGGCCCCGCAGGCCCCGCAGGTCCCGCAGGTCCCACTGGGTCCCACAGGTCCCACAGGTCCTACAGGTCCCACAAGCCCCACAGGTCCCGCAGGCCCCACAGGATCCACAGGGTCCGTAGGTCCCACAGGTCTCGCAGGTCGCGCAGGACCCGCCAGTCCCGCATACTCCATAGGCCCCGCAGGCCCCGCAGGTCCCACAGGTCCCACATGCAGGTCCCGCACGTCCCACAGGTTCCGCAGGCCCCACGGGTCTTACAGGTTTTAAAGGTCTCGCAGGTCCCGCATGTCCCGCAATTCCCACAGGTCCCGTAGGTCCCAGAGGACCCATAGGTCCAACAGGTCCCACAGGACCCGCAGGTCCCGCAGGTCCGCAGGTGCCACAGGTCCCACAGGTATGAATGACCCCACAGGTTTCACAGGTTCTCGCAGGTCCACCGGTCGCACATGTCCCGCAGGTCCCGCAGCTCTCACAGGTCCCACAGGTTCCGCAGGTCTCCCAGGTCCCTCAGGTCCCACAGGTCCCACAGGCCCCCCGGGTCCCACAGGTCCCGCAGGTCCGACAGGTCCCGCCGCCAGCACAGGTCCCACGAGTCCCACAAGTCCCGCAGGTCGCGCAGGTCCCACAAATCCCGCAGGCCCAGCATATCCCACATGTCCCACAAGTCCCACATGCCCCACATGTCCCACAGGTCCTACAAGTCCCGCAAGCCCCGCAGGCCTCGTAGGTCTGGCAAGTCCCGCAGGCCCCGCAAGTCCCAGTCCCCCCAGGTCCCACATGCCCCGAAGGCCCCACAGGTCCCACAGGCCCGATAGGGCTTACAGGTCCTACAAGGGCCACGGGGTCCGCAGGTCCCGCAGGTTCCGCAGGACCCGCAGGTCCCACAGGTTTCGCAGGTCGCGCAGGTCCCGCATGTCCCACACGTCCCACAGGCGACGCATGCCCCACAGGCCCCTCAGGCCCTACAGGTCCCACAGGCCCCACAGGTCCACCCAGCCCCTCCGGTCCCACAGGTCCCACAGGTCCCACATGTCGCGCCGGTCCCGCAGGCCCCGCAAGTTCCGCAGGTCCCACGGGGCCTACAGGTGCCACAGGCGCCACAGGTCCCACTGGTATCGCAGGTCCTGCAGGTCCCACAGGTCCTACGAGTCCCTCAGGTCCTACAGGTCCGACAGGTCAGGCAGGTGTCGCAGGTGGCGCAAGCCCCGCAGGTCCCACAGGTCCCACAGGTCTCGCAGGGACGACAAGTTTTGCAATTTCGAAGGCCCCACAGGTCCCACCAGGCCCACGCGTCCCACAGGTCCCAAGGGTCCCACAGGTCTCGCAGGTCCCTCAGGTCCCACAGCTACCGCAGCCCGCACAGCTCCCACAAGTTCCACAGGGCTCACGCTCCCAACATTTATCCCAATTCCGGCAGGTTCCACAGGTCCCGCAGGTCCCACAGGTCACCTTTGGTGTTATTAAGATGGTTCCTGGGGTGATGTTTGCAAGGCGAAGGCGCGTGTAATTGCATGCGCTGCGCGCAGTGCAGAGTGAACCGTGAGTGCAAGTGCGAAGCGCTGCCATGTAAATTTGGGATTGCGCCCGTCCTGGAATATTTTTGTGAACTTGCGGTTGCGGTGGTTTCCATCGTGGTCAAACTCAATGAGAAGGTGGACGACTTCGAAAAGCAGTTCTCCGAGTCCCTGGTAACGGACGCGTGCTGGTGGGGGTCCGAGGTGAAGGCCATCCTCGGGAGGTTGAAGGACCTCTCCAAGGAGATCGACGCCCGCTTGAAAAAAGACACCGATAGCGAGGATATTCAGAAGCTGACCATTGGCAAGAAGAAGCTCTCGGCGATTATGGCGATCGTGGAACAGGCGCTGACATCCTCCTCCTCCGTCGTGTCCTCCCACCTGGTCCTCCGCCTCCTCGGTCTCCTCGTTCACCCTGCCTCGCCCTCGGATCCCCCAGCTCCTCGCCCCTTCGCAGGCGAGCAAGGCGGGCATGGACGACGACGCGTTCAAGGACACGTGCGACATGGCCGTGACGAAGCTCCAGTTATCGCCGACGACCACGGTGGTTTTTCCGCCGCATGTATCCTCTGCCCGGCACAAGTTCGACATCCGCAGCGTCTCGTCGACCGAAGTTTGGCTCGCGCATGTGAACACTGAGTCGTTGCGGAAGGCTGGTTTGGCGGGCGTCTCCGACGAGCAGGAGAGGCTGTGGTCTGAGCGCCTATCCACCATCTTGAAAATGAAAGACGCGGACATGAACGCGACCTTCGACGACCTGTTCAACGCGGACCGCGAGTTCGATTCAGAGGAGAGCGTCGAGTCGTTTGTCACCAGCTTCGGGGTGTGCTGGAACATGTTCTCGTACTCCGACCTGGAGGTGCTGGTTGAATTGGGGGTCGAGGCGGTGGGGGCGCTCGTCCCGCGCCACGTCGGCCATGCCTGCGACCCAGCTCGGCGGCGCACTGATGGGCGTCCCCAAGGGGCGGAAGCTGCTAGAGTCGTTCTGGGCGCACGTGGCCAAGCCGAGCACATTCAGGCGATCCTGGCGTCCCTGGCCATTCTCCTCGGCGCGCTGAAGGAGGCAGTGGACGTCGTCTTGCCAGATGTCCGCGCCTGCAGCCCCGAGTCGCTCGGAGCGGTCCGCGCGGCCTTACTTGCGCTGCGTTCAGACTTCGAGTTGAAGGTGCCGCAGTGCCTGCCCGCCTTCATGCCCGACTTCTCGAAGCCAGACACTAGCGAGACCTTCCGGCGCCTGGCTAAAGAGATGCACAGCGCGTGGGCCGCCATCTTCGCGCCCATCGTGAATGTGAATGCCAACCTACCTGACTTGAGTAGTTGGGTGGCAGGGTCGAGTGCGTCGAGAACCAAACTGGTCGACTGCACTTCCTCGATCGTGCAGTGCAAGGTGGTCTTCGGCCCTGACGACGACCTCTCGGCCTGCGACTTCCTCATGCAGACGTCTGGCTGCTTGGTTGAGTGCAGCGCTTTAATCCTCGACAAGGGTGCCTCGATGGGGGGCGCCCAGAAAGTGCAGGAGCGCTTTGAGGGGATCTTCCGCGCGAGCAAGGATGCCATCGGGGAGCAGATGAATGAGGACATGAAGGGCCTCGTTGCTTCGCCATTGTTCTCGCCTGGCGGGCCTTTTTCACAGGAAGATTTCATCGTGCTTGGATTCCCGCGCGCGCCCGATCGTACGAGCGCTGGCCGAGGAGGTTAACGCGGCGTTCAAGGGCATTCCCTTCGAGGCTTCCGAGGTGGCGACGGCAGACCTGCAGCGCGTCAGCGCGCTGGCCGACAGCACCCTGTCCGACCCCGTCGTCAACAACGTCGTGAAGTGGGCCACGTCTTCCGGAGACGCGTCGCTCTTGCAGGAGGCGACCTACCTGTCCCTTTCGCACGCCTTCGCGAAGTCGCTGGCCGAGGCTCGCGCCGTTGGTGAACAGGCGCTCGGCCACGCCAAGCTGGAAAAGAGGATGATCACTCAGAAGCAAGTCGACGTCTTGAAGGCCGCCCGTGCTCGTCATGCTGCTTTCGAGGCGTTCAAGAAGGAGAATGCCTTGTTTTTCGGCGACGGGGAGGCCGTACAAGTGGCCTCCCACATCCCGATCTTGAGCCCGCTCGTGAAGCCAAAAGTGCTCGGGCCCGCCTTGCTGGAGCAGTCCCTGAGCATCCAGGGTAAGTTCGCAGAGACTTGGACTAGAGACCTCGAGTCCTTGGGCGAGCATGTGCAGGCGTCGTGCCCCAATTATACGCCGCTGAGAGGGACCTTGCTGAATAATGAAGCCATGGTGAAGCAGTTCACGGAGAATCCTAAGTACCGCGGCATCGGCAAGCTCACTGCCGCGATGAAAGAGCACAGGCGCCTGATTAAGCTCATTCACGCCGACCGTCACCCAGCGCTGGTTTCAGCGGAAGTCATGAAGAAAGCGAAGGAGCTCAACGACATGGGCGTGGAGACCGTGGCCTTCACGTTCTTCATGTTTAAGGTCAAGGTTGCATGGAAGGACGTTGTTAACCCCACGATCGCCAGGAAAAACGTCGAACAGCTCCGCCTCGAACTGACGCCGGGCGGCGTGCAGCTGACTCAGGAGATGGAGGAGTGCCTCAAGGACTGGGAGGAGGGCGCCATGCTGCCGGACGCGATCGCTGCCCGAGCTGCTGCCGCGAAGGCTGCAAAGGAGGCGGCCCCCGACGTCGGTGCGAAGAGCGAGCCTGCTCCTGGGGCCAGGGAAGGGCCAGGCGCTGGGCCCACTACCGAGACGAAGGATGGGAAGAAGATATCGCTCGCTGAGCGGGCGAGGGCGGCCAAGAGGCTTCGTGCGTCTTGAGTTTTCCGGTAGAGGGCTGGGTGGCGAAGGTGACGTTGCCAGTCTGGCTTGGGGCTTGCGTGGGCCTGCTGCAGGTGGCAGGCCATTTTCCATTTTGGACCTCAGCTTGGGCCTGCTGTGGACATATTCTCCGAACGATTGCTCGGGTTGCGTTCGAAAAGATTGAAAGTCGTCTTCATCGTGCGTTGCCGCCGCCTTCGATGCCCCCTCGGCCGTCAGCCCGCCTACTCGACTGACAGGCTCGGACCTCGGGGGCCCCACCTATGCCGGATGCCCCTCGAGCACAACGAGTGGCCATCTATCGGCGGCGACGCTGTGGATTCTTGCAGCGAGGACCCCTTATCATATTCAGTGGCAAATGCGTCTGAGATTTCTGATGCCCCCGTGGAGTCTGAGTTGTGCAGGGTGAAAGGTGCGCGGAGTCGCCGCATGAATTGCTCAGTTCCTGAATTCTTGACGCTTCTCGTATCCCCACCGGCCCATCCAGAAACGACGCCCAGGGGAGTTGAGATGACCAGGGAAGCGTGGGAGCAAAAAGGGGGAAGGCCGAACCGAGCGAAGGAGGGATGAGGATAATGTGGACGCTGAATGGATGGATGGATGGATGGATGGATGGATGGATGGATGGATGGATGGATGGATGGATGGATGGATGGATGGATGGATGGATGAGGGAATGGGGAAAATGATGATGAATAGGACGAGGAAGAGGAGGGGGAGGAGGAGGAGGAGGAGGAGGAGGAGGAGGAGGAGGAGGAGGAGGAGGAGGAGGACGAGGAGGAGGAGGAGGAGGAGGGGGAGGAGGAGGAGGAGGAGCAGGAGGAGGAGGAGGAGGAGCAGGAGGAGGACGAGGAGGAGGAGGGAAAGGCGGAGGAGGAGGAGGAGAAGGTGGAGGATCTTGAGGCTCTCTTGGGCCGATCCGAGAAGCTCTTGGGCCGTCTTGGAATCCACCCGAAACCGCTCTTTTATGCCGCTCTTGGGCCATCTTGCGTGCCTCGGGGGGGGGGGACTCTTGGGGCCGCTTGGGTCCTCTTGGGGGCCTCTTAGGGGCCTCTTGGGGGCGTCTTTGGGGCGTCTTGGGGGCGTCTTGGGGGCCTCTTGGGGGCCTCTTGGGGCCTCTTGGGCGCCTCTTGGGGCCATCTTGGAAGAGATCGATCAAAGAAGAGGGTGGAGCCAATTAGGGTCCCCCCTCCAGAGCCTCTAAAATCGCATCTTGGACCCCTCTTGGGGCGCTCTTGGAGCGCTCTTGGGCGCTCTTGGGGCCGTCTTGGGGCTCTCTTGGGCCCCTCTTGGGGCCCTCTTGGGCCATCTTGGAGCCATTTTGAGGCCTCGGATGGCCATCGGAAGCGAAAAGGCGAGAAGGCACACATCATTGGTTTTCCTTATGTTTTTGACGGGTTTTGGCATCTTGGGGGCCTCCTTTGTGAAGCTCTTTGGCCTCTTTGAGCCGTATTGGGGCGGTCTTGGGACTTCTTGGAGCATCTGCGGAGCCATCTTGAGGCATCTTAGGCTATCTTGAGCCATCTTGGAGGTCATCTTGGGCTCTCCGAAGCGCTCGTGGAGCCGTCTTGCGCGAAAACGCACCCTCTGACACCTCGCGGGGCGCGCTGTCCAGGTCCAGGGAGGGGGTAGGGGGAGGGGTAAACCCCTCCCCGAAGGGGAAGAAGGGGGTTGGAAGAGGAAAGTCCCCAAACCACCTACGCCCAGAGGGCTGGTGGGACTTCCCAAAAACACGCTAGCACTGAAGAAGGCGTTATTATTCAAGTGGCTTACGCCGTTCCGCCGACCACTGGACACAGTGAGAGCTTGCAGCGGCCGTTGGCAGTATCGAAGACGCCTACGGCGAATCACCGCCGCCCCCTGCCCCTCTGGAAGCGCCTCTGTGGCCGACAGCTGGGCCAGAGCTTGGCCAAGCTATCGGGCTTGTTGTTCCCCGAGGTCGGTTTGGAAAGACTTCGGGGAACGCGTGGGGGAGCAAGGAGGAGAGGGAGGATCAGGAAAAAAGGAGAAGGAGGAGGAGGAGGAGGAGGAGGAGAAGGAGGAGGAGGAGGCCTCTTGGGCGCCTCTTGGGGCACTCTTGGGGCCTCCTGGGAGCTTCCTGGGGGCCTCTTGGAGGGTTTTGGGGGGCCTCGGGGGGCTTCTTTGGGGCCTGTTTGGCAGTCTTAGGGCGTTCCTGGCTTGTCTGACGCCGTCGGAAGCCGTCCTGGGGGCCTGTCTGGGTCGTTTCGGGGCCCTCTTGGGTCATTTCAGGGCCGCCTTAGAGGCCATCTTGGGCGTCTTGGAGGCCTCTTGGGCCGTCTTGGAGCCCTCTTGGGGCCGTCTTGGGGGCCTTTTGGACCGTCATGGGGCAATCTTGGAGGCCTCGTGGGCGATCTTGGGGCGATCTTGGGGGCCTCTTGGGTCGTCTTGAACCGTCGGAGTGCCGAGAAGAAGCAAATGCCAAAATCCTTCAAACACCTAAGGGAACATCAATGATTTTGTCATCTACGGGCCCTCCTGGAGGACCTCTTGGAGGCCTCTTGGGCCGTCTTGGGTGCATCTTGGGCCGTCTTGGAGGCATCTTGGGGCCATCTTAGCCGTCTTGGAGGCCGTCTTGGCCGTCGTGGAGTCGTCTAGGAGGCCATCTTGGGCCATCTTGGAGCCGTCTGGAACGGAACAACCGTTTGCAACCACCTCTGGGCATCCTTGGGCAATCCTCCCGGGCACCCTGGCGGGACGGGCCGAAGCGCCAGGGGGAGTTCTTTTGGAAAAAGAACCAAAACTACACCCTAAGAAGTCTAGCACGCCAGGCACCCCTGCGATGAATCGACAGGGGGCAGCGGATCGAGTGGCATTCGGCCCAACCCGCCACCGTGCCTGGGCTGTGGGTCAGGAGCCTTTCGGAAGCTCTGGGAGAGCTGTGTGGTGCATCTTGGAGGTTGTCTGGGGTCTTTGGGTGGCCTCTCGGGGTGTTATTGGGAGCGTCCTGGGAGCCTCTTAGGGCCTCTCGGGTCTTGGGGGCGCCTTGGGCCCTTTGGGGGGGTTCTTGGGGCCGTCGTGGGGACATCGTTCGGTCAGCTCTTCGCTCAAGGTTATGGCGATTGTTATGCGTGTGTGCGCTTAACAGAACATCATTATCATGCCAATTACATGGCGCAGTCCCAACAGTTAGAGTATATGCTTACAGTTTATTCATAGTGTACTACACGTAAGTCGTGATTTTAACAATGCTAAGTATCGGTAGTCTTGCATGTTACAACTAGTGATGCGCAATTAAATAATACATTTCATTTAATACATATAACATGTTATACTGCATTATTTTTTCTTAACAACATTGTACTTTTATTTAATTGTGTCATACATATATAATATGATAGTATACTGACGATGTTATTTGTTTTTTTCTCGCCTGCTCTGCGTTGTGGTACGAGCGGGCGCAGCAAAGCATGGCCCAGGATCTAGCGATCCTGCGCGGTGGGAAAGCCGTGATGATTCAAGGCTGAACGACCCACGCGGTGGTGGAAGCACACGCCGACGCCGTTACAGTGGAGATCCATGCCAAGAAACACCCTGCTTGCCTCCAGGGTGCCCTGGGTTTCTTCGGTTTCGATGGTTTTGCCATGGAAAGCGTGACGCTCCCACACCAAAAATCAATGGACGTCCTGAGGTCTCAGGGTTGGGTTTCTCGTGGAATGTTTTTGTGGTCGGGCACCTACTGTACGACACGGACTGGCCGTACCTCCTTGTTCTGCGTCTCGAGAGTCGGGACCTCCACGTCCGATCCAGTCTCGTGCGCTGCGCTGTTCGGCTGTGCGTGCCCGGCGTCCCCCACCCTCTCTGAGCATTGGCGTCGCCCGGCCTGCCCGCGCACACTCTTGTCCCAAGTTGCTTCAGTCTCTTGGCGGCGCGTACGAGGGGGTGGTATATGGCGGGAGGTCTTCTAAGAAGACGGCTGGCTTTTGAAAAGGAAGCGGCCTTCTCCAGCGCCTTCCGGCTTCTACGAAGCCTTTTTAGAAGTTCCCAGGCCCCCCTGAGAATCCCCCCCTCCTCGAAAGCAGCCCCCCTTCCCCCTCTCACAAGTCCGCCCCCCTGGCGCTGCTCCCTCTGTGGGCTCCGCCAGGTCGCCCCGCACACTTCTGCTCCCGTGCCCTGGCCCCCCTCCCCGCCCCGTTCCCCCCCCCGTCGCCCCGTTCCCCGTCGCTGCGCGCCGTGGTCTTGGTGTCGCTCGGACGTGTGCACTCTTTCTCGGCGGGGGTCATTAAGGAGCATCCTGGATCATCCTGCGAAAGAGCCACGCACGAAACCGACAAAAACACAGGGAATTCAGGAGGGAAAGAAACACAGACACAGTTAATCGTCGATCCCCCAGAACATATGATGGGAAAATATGGGCAGTGTGTGGGGGAGACGATCAATGGAGAGGAAGCATGGCGCCATCAAGGGGGGGGTGGACTAGGTAGGGGTGGGATGTCATGAAGTCGGGCCTGTCCCTCTACGGGAGGAAAAATCAAAAATAGAAACAATAGTTTGGGAACCATTTTCTGACTATTTGCATGTTTGGGGCATTTTCGGGGTATTTTTGATTTTTCGTCCAAGCTCCCCCTGTAGGACAACAAGCCCGACCTAAGGATCTCATGGCGCGGGCCATAATATCTCCGTAGATGTCACGGCGCCTCCTCTTGTGCCATTACGCCCCTGCCCCCCTCCCTGGGCCGCGCACGTGCCGCCGGCCATGATTTGTGCGCCCCCCCCCTCTTGAACGCCCCCCTCTTGGCCGCCCCCGACGCTCCCCCGCCAGCTGCCCCCGCTCCCCCTCGCCGCCCGCCGCCGCCCAGGCGGCCCAGTCCGCCGTGCGCGCGGGCCTCCGCAGGGCGCCGACGGTGAATCAGGTCGGCGTCGCCGCTGCTCGAAGAACAACAACGACAACAACAAAAGCAGACATGCACTTAAGTCGGGCCTGTCCCCTTACAGGGGGATGTTCGACGGAAAATAAACATACCCCAAAAATAATCCCAAAATAGTCTGGGGACTACCTTTTTCATATCTTTTTTGTGTATGTTTTGTGTTTTTCCCTACCTAGGCTCTGCCTAGAAGGGTTCTTACTCTCTTAACTTAAAGGGGCCGGGCAGTGGAACACGCCCCGGGCGGTTCCCCCAGTCCCCTGGGAGCGGTTCCCCCCAGTCCCCTGGGAGCTTTAGCTTTAGCTTTAGCTTTAGCTTTAGCTTAGCTTTAACTTTAGCTTTAGCTTAGCTGTAGCTTAGCTTTAGCTTAGCGTTTCGCTTAGCTTTTCGCTTAGCGTTTAGCTTAGCTTTAGCTTAGCTTTAGCTTAGCTTGAGCTTAGCTTGAGCTTAGCTGTAGCTTAGCTTTAGCTTAGCTTTAGCTTAGCTTTAGCTTAGCTTTAGCTTAGCTTTAGCTTATATTTAGCTTATATTTAGCTTAGCTGTAGCTTAGCTTTAGCTTAGCTGTTGCTCAGCTTTAGCTTAGCTTTAACTTAGCTTCAGCTTAGCTTTAGCTTAGTTTTAGCTTAGCTTTAGCTTAGCTGTGGCTTAGCTTTAGCTTAGCTTTAGCTTAGCTTAGCGTTACTGTTACTACTAATGCTGCTTTCCTAGGGGTTCCAACTCCTAGGTAGGGTCGCACTGGGATAATTTTAGTCGACAGTCCCCCTGTAGGGGGACACTCCCGACATAAGCATACACTTTCGGCGCTGCGCGCGAGTTTCTTGGATCCGCGCTGGGGCCCTCCTGGCGGCGCCTCCGGCGCCGCTCCGGGCGCGCCCCGCGCGCCAGGGAGGGGGTCCAGCGCGGATCCAAGAACTCCGCGTGGACCCACGAAAGCTTGTGTTTATGCCTTTTTTGTTCCTCTAGCTGTGCCGTGGCCGCCGCCGTCGGCGGCGGGGGAGGGGAGGGACGGCAAGGGGGCCGTCGTCGGCGGAGGAGGAGAGCGACTCGCCGAGCGCGTTTTCCACGACTCGCAGAGCGCCTGGGGGAACAAAAACAGCACACGCCTTTTTGGCCCCGACGCAACGGATCGTGAGCCCCCCGCGGCGGATCCAGGCCGTTTGCGAGTAGGTACCCTACGAGTTGTGGAACGCGCTTGTCTAGTGTGAAGTCGGGCACGTCCCTCGACAGGAGGAATATTCAAAACTAGTAAGAAACAGTGGGGACGATAATTCTAGCATGTTGGGTCTATTTTGGAGCATCTGTTGTGCATGCTTTACTTTTCCTCGAAAATCCGCCTGCAGGGGGACATGCCCGACCGAACGCTTGTCTAGTGAAGGCAGTGGGTCTTCGTCGTCCCTGGAAAGGGGGGTGGCGGAGGGACGGCAGGGAGCCGTCGTCGCCAGAGAGGGGAGGGGCAGACGGGACCGCTCGGATGTTGCTAGAAGTGCCCCTGGCCCAAGGTGCCCCCAGCTTTCCGCTCCATTTTGGAGCCTTTGGGGCCCTCTGGGCCTCGTGAGGGGTGCCCTGGAGGCCGTCTGGGCCACCCCGAGAATCCGGGGGGGTACCTTGGGCCAGGGGTACTCTAGCAGCACCCGAGCCGCGGGGTGGCTTCGCCGTCGGCGCAGAGGCAGCAGAGGGGCACCGGGGAAAGCCGATCGCCCGACTCCCTCGCCGTGCAAGCGGAAGAGCATTTCCATGGGCTTCCGGGTCGAGGGACGGCGGCCCTCCCTCAGGCGCGCCAGTCGACCCTTGGCCGTCGGAGCCTTTGGCGGGCTTGCGGCCCTCCTTGACAAGGTGCGTCCACCTGCGCAGACTGAGCGTAGGAAGCGCAGCGCCTGCAACGCACGAGCGTGGGTCGACACGCGAGGTGATGTCCCAGACCCCGTGTCTGCAGAGTGCGGTTCGTCCACCTACGCAGACTGAGCGTGGGGAACGCAGCGCCTGCATCGCACAACAGTGGGGCGAAACACGAGGTGGTGCCCCAGACCCCGTGCCTGCAGAGTGCGGGCTTCACGGTCACGGGCATCGAATTTACCAGAGTCTGCGCCCGACGGCCCGCTCGCAGTCCGACCTGGGGCCTCTGGGGCGCAACGACCCATGGGACTCCCAGACGGAGGAGGAGGAGGGAGCAGGAGGAGAAGGAGGAGGCATCAACGGAGGAGTAGGGATCGACTCGGTGGCCTAGCTCGGGGCAGTGACCGTGATACCTCTCGGCACCACATCGGAAATCGTACCGACGATCCCGGACGACATCGCAGCAAGCCTGACAGAACACTCAAGGGAATCTGCTACCACACAATACTTCTGCGGGTATGCTGGTCTCTGGCAGTACCTATGCTTACACAATTTAGCTCCCTTCTTCGTGCATTCGTCTGCGAATCGGTTGCCTAGGGACAGACGCTCGCCTATCTCGCGCCGCTGGGCTCGAGTGGCGTTGGCCTTAATTTTGCCAATCTCGAGTGTCCTGTGGCCCAAACCCCCCCGAGATCGTTGACCAGAAACCGTGGGCCCTGGCTGTGGCCCCGCATCGCTCCTGTCCCCTGGAGGTGCCGTCGACTACAGCCTGGCAATCGCGGTGGATTTCCAGGGCTGGCATCGCACACCTCGGTACCTGAATGGTCGCATGTGGTCCTGCTGGGAAAATCCCTTGCCGATTTTGGGGCAGGGGGAGGGTACCGAAAGCGGAAAACTCGATTCTCCCCCGAGGCGTCCACGGTTGCATAGGTCCAATTTGATTGCTTCAGGGCGTCAAACTCACCATTCAAGAGAGACTTGTTCGTGAAGGCCTCGTGCCTCGCTGCTGCATGTGCATACCTCCTACACGCTTGCGTTGCTCATCCCGCGCTCTGCACACACACACACACATACGTTCGGTGCAAACCTGTGCCTACGGCCTGCTTGCATGCCCGACACTTGTCGGTTGACGCAGGACCAGCCTGGAAGGTTCTTTGTTGCGGCCACGTGCCGCCTGCAAACAACGCTCGCGATGCTCAGCAGTCCACTTCTCTGTCAGAGCTCTGCGGAGCAACATCCTCACCCGCGCCAGGAAGACCCGACGAGACACACAGACCTCGGGGCCCCATCGCGCAACTCGGCCATGGCCTGGTCAGGCGTGCGAGGCCTGTCGGGCGAAGGAGTGAAGGCAGTGCAGGCCAATCTGTGCTGCTTCGTGCGCCTCGGCCCCGCGCGTGCTCGTCGCGGGACTCTGGGTGCTCCAACCGAGGCGCCTCACAGTGGCATTGGGGAGGAGGAGGAGGAGGAGGAGGAGGAGGAGGAGGAGGAGGGGGAGGAGGAGGAGGAGGAGGAGGAGGAGGAGGAGGAGGAGGAGGAGGGAGGAGGAGGAGGAGGAGGAGGAGGCGCCTCCTCGGCTGCCCGTGGAGCCGCACGACCCACGAGCGCCCGGCCGCCACGAGGAGGTCCCGCGCCCCTGGGCGGGCCGCCCCCCGCCGCGCCCTGGCCGGCTCGACGGCGCGCCCCGCGCCGGCGACCACGGCGCGGCGGGGCGCCCCCTGCCGGCGAGCCCCGGCGCGGCCGACCACGCCGCCCGGCGCAGCTCGGTGATCGGCGCGCTTCGGGCGCGCCCTGGACGCGCGCGCCGTGGAGCTCCGACCGGCACGATCCCGAGCTGGAGCACCTCCGCCGCACCTCCTTCGGGCGGGACGAAAGGGGGGGATTGGGAAAGGGGGGGTTACGAAATTTGCTGCATGCAGCTGGTTTCGGCCTCACCGAGGGGCCCATTCCTCGATACATTGCTGCCTCCCGGCGCCGGGAGGCGCCGGGAAAATCAGCTCCGTGAGCTGATTCTCAACCCCCCCCTTTGCTATCCCCCCCTTTCGCCCGACCCGACTCCTGCAGTCCTGACCCGCGGGATCTGCCAGCTCCTGGCCTCGGCCTTCCAGCTGCTCTTGGACTGGGCTCCGGCTGGGCGCCTCAGGGCAGCTGGCTGGGTCACGCCCAAGAGCACGGCCTCGCGCACCACCTGGACGCCCATCCGCTTAGTCTGGCTCTCGAGCTGCCGCTCCACACTGCCGTAGGAGGTTGCGACGACGCCCTTGCCATCTTTGCCCCGGGAATCCTGCAGGCTGAGCAGCTGCTCGAACACGACGACAATCTCGTTTGTCAGGTTCGCGTGGATCGCGGCCACTGCGGCCACGCTGCTTCGTGTCGACGCCGCCAGGTCGTCAAAGGACAGGCACATGTCGGCCCTCGGGTTGGCCGCGTGCAGGTCGTCGATGGCGCCTATGATGACGAGGGACAGGCACAGCGGGCCGAAAACATGACTTGCCACAGTACCTTGCACCCAGAACTCGCCCTCGGTACAGTATCCATTCAACACCACTCTCCGCATGAAGGAGAACACTCGCAAGGTTTCCCTCCGCAGCGGCTCGGGGAACCCCTGACGCAGGCCACCTCGCCATGCCAGGGAACGCGGCACCGTCTCACAGCACTCCCGAAGGTCGTAGTAGATAGTGGCGATCGCCTCCCTCTGACGCCAGCGACCCCTCTGTCATGAGGCCTTGCATCCAGGCTGCGCGTTCTGCCGACCTGCCCTTCACGGCCCAGGCGTGCGCGCGCGGCTTCCTTGTTCTGCCACTTCTGGATCTCGGGGCGGCGGATCTTGTCCCACACTCGTGCAAGTTCAGGAAGAAGCCCCAAGTTCCTCATGCCGCCCTTCGGCTTGGGCTGGAGCCAGAAAATGATGCACTGCTGTGAGACGGGCCAATCGGCGTCTCTCTCTCTCTCTCTCTGATTATGCAGTTCACGATGCTCGCCAGGCCAGCTAGGCCCACGGCAGGCCCTTGTCCCCAGAGCCTGGGGTGGATGTTGGACTCCCCCAGGCCCGTCTTGCTGGAGAAAGCCTTGCAGGAGGTCAGCACGTGGTGGCCGAGGATCGGGGCCAGCATGTGCTCGTCCACTTCGGGCGGTTCGAACCAGGTCGCTGACCAATC